TGCACTGTCAGGCCGTGTTGACTTAATAATTATAATTTCCATGACCACTTCATGTACACTGTTGAGATGGGTATTTCCTCTGATATATTTTCTTCATTAATATTCCTGTTCCAGACCATATTAACCCATGGACTTCATGGGTAAAGCAGAAGGGGATAGCTGCCCATCCTTTCCATTGATTGAATAAATCAGGAGTGGTCTGCTTTTCAAAATAGGTTTTTTTGTGGTCATCTGTTGCACTGTCTCCAGTGTTGATGTTACTCCAGACTTTCCACTGCGTGTTCTCCACCCACTTTTTCTTCCAGTGGAGTATGGGAATCCTTACCACTTTTCAGTTCTAAGTCACTGGGGAGGTGGACCATGGAGGCATCCTCCTGAATGTGATCAATATATACCATGCAACCTATGATGAATCCATTCAGTTGAGAGTAGGGTGGTGGTGTTCTGCTGGTGTAGAAGTCCTCCAATCTGAAGCTCCATTTCTGAATGGGTTTATCCGAGGAAGTGTTGTAGCAGTGGCTGTGTTTTGGATTCAGAGCTGGACCAATCAACATAAGTTCTCACATATGTATTACAGGTGTCTCTGTTCCCTCACTCAATTTGGCTCATGTTCATTGGTACCATGTTGTGGGTCATGGTGGATGAACATGCAGGCTCCTTCAGTTCTTTCTCTTGCACACTCCCTCAAAGATTTTCATATACCAAGGATGTTACTGAGCTGGGGGTGGTTCCTATCTGATTGGTTTTGTGTGGGATATTTCACAATACAGGGACATTTTTATTATTCTGATGTAGGATTCCTGGATTAATACAACAATTTATCACTTTGGTGCCCTGTTCACAGATTGTTGGGTATGATATCTCCTCCAGTCCACTGAACTTGAGGTGAAGAGAGTATGATCCTCTTTCCTACCCCCACCAGATGGCTGAGTTTTGGATTCCATTTGACTTGCTGCTGGTATAATCCTCTTTCCTAACCCACATGGATGTCTGTTCCTGGTGGCTGGGTTTTGGATTGTAGTAAACAGTATGATCCTCTTTCCAACCCTTACATGGATGTCAGTTCCCGGTGGATGGGTTTTGGATGCAGTTGACTTGCTGTGTACAGTTCATTGTGCCCTAGCCACTCTACACCTTAGGGCACATCCTTTTACTTTCACCGACATTACTATCATCAAAGGGATTGAGATTTCGTTATCAGGCGGTTCTGATCCATTGTTCTCTCCCTTTTTGATGTGCTCCTCCCATTTTCTGCCCATGTTTGCAACACCTTTTTCCACACTGGGTATATAGTTTACCTGATACAGAAGTGGTGCAGTCTCTCATGTATGATCTCCTTTTCAGGTGTTCTTTGGATGCTTCTTTCTTTCCCTCGCACCAGTCCTTCCACGTATTCAATGTGGAATTCTAGCTGTATCTGTGAGCGAAGGTAATGTACCGTATCAGAAGTTATAATTTTCCTATACTGAAAATGTATTTCTTATAAGATACTTACCTCCCTCAAATTTCCCACTCTTCCTCCCCACTGAAAACCTGTGCTTCCATTTTCACCAAAACATGAAGTGATATTTCAACAGAATTGAATAGGGGAGTCACATGCGTAAGGAGGATGTGTTGCATTCCTATTGGTGGAGGGTTGTTGCATGATGATTTACATGTGAGACAGAGTTGAATCATGTTGATCATTGGGTATGTGGGAGCTCAAGGGTTGTGGCATGCAAAACATTTATTGTGTATAGAGGGCAGCACTGAACAAGAATGGCTATATCTGTCAGAAGAGTAAAGTACCTATCGGAAATACGTTTTCAGTATAGGAAAATTATAAGTTTGAGTGTTTGTAGTTTTTTTTTATTATGACAAAGATGTAAATTGAAATTATTTCCTTTGTAGGTGTAATGCTTTTACAGTAAGTTACTATGATTGTGTAAGAGTGTATATATACACACACACACACACACACAAGTAGCTAATCTATAAATGATTACTAATGAAATATTTTATGTTTAAATGATAGTCATTCAAAGTGAGTAGTCAACGAAAAAACTAGAGGTGGTTGATTCAAAAGCCATGGACCTTCTTAAAAGAGAAGATGAATTTAGGTAAGCATGAATACATGTACACATATTTTTGTATTTCTGCATAATGAATTCAGGCATTTGTAATGCTTAACTGGAGCAAAAAATGATTCTGTGAGAGAAATTGAGTGTATTAAATTTGAATACATATACTGAACTCATGACCTATACTTCCAGTTAGCATGGGATTGTGGTTTTTGCTATTGTATACATTGAATACATGGTTTTCCTTTGCCATACTTATTTTGATGGCCTGAAGATACATTGTTTATAAAATTATAGTGACATAAGTTATAGAAATATCTTAAGTTATAGAAAACCATTCAACCCATCATTATAAATAGTTATCAGTAGAATTGTTTTGTATATTAATAAGTCTGAGTGAAAAGTCTTTCTTTGTTTAAAACAAATATGCATATATTCAATGTTAAAAGCACCACCAATGTCAAAACAGTATGCTCTATAGACACATGTACACAACATTCATTTTGATGTCATTTATGTGAATATGCTTTCACAAAACAAATGCTATTTTTAAATTATGGCAAGTGTGAATTAGTTCCATCTGTTAATTTAAGTGTGCCAAAAAAACAGACCTTAAAAGTAACTTTGGAGCTGTGCAGTGAGTACCATACCAGTGTGGTTGATACCAGTGTCTTAGGGAGTTCACTGTGATTTTTTTACTTGTTTTTTTATTTGTTTGCAATTTTACTGATTTTTTTTTAATTATAAGTAGAATAAAACAAAAATTATTACTAACTTTGTTTTTTCAAATGTATAGAAAATGTTTATTATTATTATTATTATACCTCAAAACAGAAACTAAGTAATTGATTAATATAAAAAAAGATTAAGACAAGGACAATAACAAAGTGCTTTTTTCAAAGTAACTGTATAACCTCAAATGTGTTCTCAGATGAATTTTTTTTTACATTATGGGACATGTAGTAAAAATAAAACAGTTTTATATATATATAAGTATATCATATATATTCATATCTTATAGTCACAGTGCTGTATCATTTTGCCTATTTATGTTTCTTAACCATTGAACACCATATTTCAACTTCATCATCAACTTGTATTACATAGGTATTTTGATATGTCATGCAGTATTGCAAGAAAAATAGTACTGCTAATAACTAGTTTGTAAACTCCAAACTATGTATTTGGCATTATGGTGAATGATAAGTAACTTCCAGCATTTTTACTTTTTGTCAGTAGAAGGTTCCTTTTTTTTTTCATCTTTGACATACAATAGTTTAAAAATTAAAAGAATATTTAAATGGATTCATAATGCATGTGAAATTCTGTTATAGTTATTGTGGTCAGATATGTTAGAATGACTGTTTATGATCATCTTATTTGCATATAGAATGAAAATATATGTATTCTGAATATTTCTGTTTTGAGTTTCATATGTGGCAAATCCTATGTGTTACTCAGTCAACAATATGAAGTTATGTATATAGTACTTCTAATATTTAAAAGCTATAATAGAACGTAAAAAATAGGAGTCAAGAATTTTGGAGCTTTCAAAATTGGCTGGAGTTACTTGAAAGTTGTCAGAAAATATGTAAATAATTATTCAAAATAAGGTTTTTACATAGTTATTGTTTCCCTGAATTTTCTTGAGTAATTTACTAGCTGTTATTATGTTTAATCCAATATAGAGTTTAGGAGATGTTTTATGATTTGTTTTGGAACTGTTTAAACTGTAATTAGCTGGAAGAGAAACTTTTTTTTTCCCCTGATATATCTTGGCTTTCAAACATCCAGTCATTCATTTAGCCCAAAACAACAACAACAAAATTTTAAAGTAATACACTAAACCTCTTACTTTATCACTAGCAGCAGTTGACATTTCAGTTTCACATCATAGTTTCTAAGGACTTTTTTTTTCATTACAGTATGACTAAACAAGAAGCATTTGTGTAATACAGCTTCTGTTTAGTAGCTAATACATTGCAGCATTAGAGCCAAACAAGCAGTATCTGCTTTATATAATTTAACTTTATCTCTTTATGTTTTTCCAGTTTTCTGTTGGTTTTTTAGAATCATCTGAATGCATGTGTTCAGAGATGTTATTTTTTGTACTTGCTAAGTATTCAATAATTTTAAGTATGCAACTGGTAATTTTAATAAAATGAAAATAATGAAGACATTATAAATAACACAAAAAGTCGTTTTGTGACTAAATTTAATATTTTGATATATATGTATATATTATGGTTGTGGTTGGCATAATTCTTCATCTGAAATGAATTCACAAAACAAAACGCATTTAATCTTCAAAATTTTGCAAAACTGAAGAGCTGAATGTAATTAAAATGACAATATTTTCACATTTTCATGGATACACATATAAAACAGAATTTCCTTTAGTTTTGTTTAAAGTACTAAATAAACTTTTAATCAAATATATTTCTAAATGAGACTATTTACGTTATGTTTTTCTTAATATTTAAGAAAACTGATATAAGCATCTCAAAATAAAAATGTGTAATAGATATATATATAGGACATATATATATGTATATATATATATATATCAAATTAGGTTTTGAATTTATGTAACTATTGCAAATAGGAGTTTAGATTTAAATACATTTTGCATCATTTACATTAACTGAATGATTTAATGTTAATTATGTTTCAGTGGTATCTTCCTTTTTTGTTATTGATCTTAAAAGAAATAATAAGGTCAGAAGGGCCCGGCATGGCCAGGTTGTTAGGGTGCTTGACTCGCAATCTGAGGGTCGCGGGTTCGAACCCCTGTCACACCAAACATGCTCGCCCTTTCAGGCATGACGGCATTATAATGTGATGGTCAATCCCACTATTCGTTGGGAAAAGAGTAGTCCAAGAGGTGGCAGTGGGTGGTGATGACTAGCTAGGGACGGCTAGACAGATAGCCCTCGTGTAACTTTACGCGAAATTAAAAAAAACAAACAAACAAGGTCAGAAGTGTTTCCAGCATTTTGACATTCTTTTGTATCGTAATAACGAAAATACCATACTAGGATGAATGAGGTGATAATATGTCCTACAGATTTTAAATAATATACCTGTGTACATATAATGTTTTATGTATATAACCCAATTTACAAGAACATGAAGCATTAATACTGGTTCTAGTAAAAACTGATGGACTTTAGAAGTTCTTATTTAAGATTATTTTGCAACCATGAGTAAAAGCATTCTCAATAAGGTACATATTTTTTATAGTGCACATACATCATTGACATTATACATGGATCAAATATTAAGAAATATTTTCTTTATTTTAATTCTGATAACTTGTAACAATTTCATTCTCAGTTTTTGTAATTTAAGTAAATGACCTTCAGTATATAAATGAATCTTGTTATGATATTTTTAGTTTATAGTTAGTGCAGCTTATTTTTCAAAGAATTTGGAAGCTTATTAAATATTCACAGTTTTCCATTTCAAAATTTTTATCTACTACTACCCTACTCCAAGCTACATAAAGAAACTCCAACAAAATTTTCCTCTCCTTGAACATAATACTATCAACAGTTAGAAAGTTTAACATTTTTAATTAGATTTTCTTATTGAAACCATTATTTGATTTTTTACTAATATGTTAATTTCATAAGTTTTTTTTTTCCACAGCTAATATGTACTTGTAGCCAGATCTTCAAGTTTGACGGATGCCATCTCACTTATTCTCATAAGCTCCCATAAAATGAGTATAAGAGCCCCTGTTAAGTCTGTCATGACACTCACTTTTCATGCAATCAGCTGTTCTTTGTTTACACACGACAAGCTCATAGATAACTTCATGTGACCCTGTTGGCTGCTATCAATGTGGTACTCTGTTTTTAGTTTGCCTAGACTAATGATGTTACAAGAATATTAACACAATATTTTGGAACTATATTGTTGTATTATATAGATATTCAGTATGTGTGACTGAGAAATTAAGTCAGTGTGTTAAAGTTTAAATTACAAAACTGGTTATTTATACATGTTTACTTTTAAGGCTTTAAAAAGTTGCTTTAAGATGATGAGTGAACTTTTCCTGGCACAACTGGTACTACTAGTGATAGTCCTTCTGCTTTTAGCATCCCTCTTCAACCTTGAATAGATATAGTTCTGCATGCACAACCTAAGGCAGCATACAAAAAGCTTCTTAAAACAGCTTACTTGTTTACAGTGAAGGGATAGCCTCTGTCTTTATTCAAAACTCTAGTTAAACTGCAAAAACAAGATGGGCTACAAATTTCAAAGTGTAATAATGCCAACAGAGTGAAAGAATTTATTAATGTTATTGCAGAAGCCATTCATAAGAAAGTAGCAGTGATTTTTACATTCGGCAATAGCTTTTGCAGTGCTTGGTGATGGAAGTCAGGCAAGAAAAACTGGCTCTGAAAAAGAACTGATTTTCATTAAAAAAAGGTCAAACAAGGTATACCAGTTTATTTCTGTGTTACTTTACAGGGCATTGATAACTTTGATGATGTAGATGCAAGTAATCTAAAGAGGAGCATTGATGATGTATTCAAAGGTGATGGAAAGGTGTTAATACTGGAGTTTACAATGGATTACTAACAAAACTGAAAAGAAAGATAGTGTATCTAAGTCATTTGCTGATGTGAAAGACTTCATAAAACTGTATATTACTTGTTCAAATGATGTGGAAAATTCAAAAGACACTTTGAGACAACTGCCAGTGCATTTGGTGTGTAGCATTTTAATTTTCTTAAAGTTTGTGATACAAGTTCGTAAGCTGTGGAATGAATCATTTACTAAGTAATTGGGTAATTCTTGCTTCAGCAATAGAGATTTTCTCTACTAGTTGCAAGGAGAGAGTAATATCGGCTAAATTCCAAGGAGTCTTAAAAAAAGATGAAAGATGACTTTTTTGTCAAAATGTTGCAAAGAAGTACTGGATGCAGAATGAAAAGAAAACATTGTATGCTATCAGGTACTGCATATGGTAGAAAAAGCAAAGGATGCCTTACAGGAACTTAAAGAAGAAACTTCAGGTACATACTGTGAAAATCTTTTGAAAAAGCTAAAATTTGAACTGGAAAGTAAATTAGGTTACTGACATCTTAAGAACAATTTGCATAAAACAGAGCACCAGAAAAAGAAAATAAGAAAACAGGGAACATACTACTATCCATATCAATTACCGTCTAATGAACAGTGTAGGCTGTGCTGAGAAAACTGTAGACTGACTGAGAATTAAATTCATTCCAAGTGCACAGGCTTGTCTTGAATCAAGATTTTCTTCGTTGTAGAATGAACTTTATCAAAGTACGTTTTTGATAGATCCAGCAAACTGGGGTCACATCATTAGAGAAATTGAGTGTTTAAATTTACTTGTAAAGCACTTTTATGAGACACCAAAAATGTACAATTTCGATAAAACTAAGATAAGCTGAGAATGGAAAGATGTCAAGTGAATGGAGACAAAACTAAGGATCTTTGGGAATATGTGCATCTATACAGAAAGAAGGAATTTAAGCATGTTTGTATGCTGGTGGAAATAGTGCTCTGTTTAAAACATGCAACAATGGAGAAACTTATGTTGATTAAGTGATTTTGTTTGGATACATGAGGAAAAGAAAAACATATTAGAAGCAACCCTGGAGAAGTTTATGGCAAAAAAGGAGGAAAAGGAAATTTGACACAAATCCTTCTTACATGACTATAGAATATGCAGTCAAGAAGTGGAAGTCAGACATGTACAATGAAATAGAAATTTATTCTGTTGGTGATTTAAGTGATTATGGAGATTCTCGTGAGAGTTACTCTGATTCTAGCATGCCTTGTAGAATAACTGATTTCAGAGGAATCATTTGATGTTGACGTTGCTGATGGAGATGATACTTCTGTAGGTAATATGTGCAAGGATAATGATTGAATATGCTCAACTAGCTAACGGATAAACACAAATAGGACGTAGGATTTTGGTACATACAAATGACTATGCAAAGTAGAGTTACTTCAAGTTAACTTGATTTTTTTATGAGATGCTAGTTTATGCAAGTTTGTGACTTAATTTTTTAAACAAATAGTGAAACTGATGTTTTATTTCCTAGTAAAAAATTTAAATATCATTTTATTCTTGCCTGTAAATTACAAAGGAGTAATTATCATAGGATTCTAGTTTAGATGTTATGTGCCAGACTTTAAGGAAATTATAACATTATAATTTTAGTTTTTTATAATCTTGCTATCATGGTGGCCTGTTTCATTAATTCATAAACCTGAGGTAGAAAGAGCTGAACTAGGGAAAACTAAGAATTGGCTTTAGCAGGACTCATTCCATTTATATAAGCTCTACTATTGAGTTAGTAAAGAGTTAGTAATTTTGCAATAACAAATTTTTCTTTCTTACTGTCACCACATTTTAGAAAACACCAATTTGTTGCTGTATTCAAGTAGCTTCATGTAAAAATTATCACTATAGTACAGACCTTTTAAAGCAAGTAAGAGTATAATTTTCTATGTTGTTCTTATTCAAACATGGTTTCAATTTTTGCACATTAAGAATCAATTTGGAAATCTTTTTAAAAAACGTTTAAACTGCAGTATGATTCCATTTTTCTTTCTTTTGAGAAGGAAAACAAATGAGTTGTTGGAGAATAAAACAACATTGTTGATGAAAGAAGCTGAAGAAGTGATGGTAAATCATTTTATATTATTAATTGTGATAAAGAAATGCTTGATTTGTAAAACCAATTAAAACTAAGAACACAATTTTTTGAGAACAGTGTATTTTAAAAAACCCAAAGAGAAATCAAAGCATTGTATTAGTAGACTGTTTTTTTTTCATAATTGTATCATTAAAAAAAAACTAAATTTTTCTTTCCACCAATTTTCAGTATGTAACCTGTTCCTAGGTTAGCTAATGAGATATGTAATTATGCCCATTTTTACTTTGCAGCATGCTTAGAAAAGTTAAATTTCACATTGATGTTTTCTAGTTATATGTTTTAGAATTGTCAAGCTGGTTTTGAGGATTATATCTGGGCCATTTTTACCTATGGCTCCAAATGTGTTTTTTTTTAACAGTTAGAGTGACTGAAAGCAAGATTAGATTAGGTTTTACTTACTTTTATACTAGATGTGTGCTTGGTGGGATGTCTGTCAGCTTTAATAATTACTATAGTGATAGAGAAACATAACATGCATTTTCTAACTACTTAATTTAATATAGTATTATTTAAAATTTGTCAGTTATTCTGGTATGGGCAATTTTCACATAACAAATGATCAAGAAAGTTAAGTTAATTTTCTTGTTGCTGCTTTTGTTATTTTTCTCTCTCTAGAGGTAGCACGTAGTCTGCTCATGGGAAGACATGGCTGAAATAACACAGCATAACATAAAATTTAAGGACATCAAGGGACCTATTGGTCCATATAAACTGTCCCATACACTTTAAAAAACACCCCTTATTATTCATATATTTATCAAGCTTTCCATTACATTTGCTGCATCCACCACATTTGAAAGCAACCCATTCCTAAGACCAACCACTCTGTTATCAAAATAAAACAGTCTTAGCTGTAACTGACTCCTACCCTGCCAAAATATATGTTTATGTCCAAAGCCCTTCCATTCTCACCAGTAAGTATAAAAAAGGATGGTGCATCAATGCTATTGATTCCCTTAACAGTCTTATACTTCTCAATTAGATCCCCTCTAATTCTTCTTTATTCAAGAGAAAAAAATTCAGAAATCTTAACCAGGCCTTCTATGACAGCCTTTCTATCCCAAATACTGAACCCTTTTTAACAGTTTATTGTCCTTTCTTAGGTAAGGAACCAAAGACTTAACACAATATTCCAAATATATCCTAACCTAGTTTAGTTTTGTTTGTTCACTTTATTCATTACCCTGTCTAAGAGCAAGAGCTTTGGTTCAAAATTATTTTTCTATCTTAGATTAAGAATAAATGCTTTAACATTAGTATATGTGCTTACTATTCTCACCTCTACTTGAGTAAACTTGGGGATTCAAAGGTTGCATTTGACATTTCTGTTTTTCAACTTTCAGATTGGGTATTAGTGGTAGTACTTTTATCTTTAATTTATGTTTTGGAGATGTGTTTTAATCGTGTGTAGCTCATTATCCACTACTAGCTCTGCTGTCTTATATATGCTGGTTTTATTTAAGTCTTGAGCAGTATACCACACCATTTAGATGTTATTTATACTTTGTGGTATTTCTTGTTCACTACTTATGTTCTCTGTATCTTTAAAAGCTTCCTGAATTTTCTTTTCTCCTTTGCCTCAGCCATAAACAGAATTGAAGGGAAAGGTCATTCTCTGAATGTAATCTACTTTTTTTTCCTTAAAGGTACTATTCCTTGTTGCCTGAATATAAAGGGTTTTTTTTTGTATTTTAAATAACTAAGACTCCATATAAATTTGAATGCTTACTACCTAGCAAATGAGTCATTTAGCTTGCATGACTCAGAAATGGAAATAAGTATTTGTAAAACATCTAGCTACACACAGTTTGCAAGTGGCATGAGTTTGTAGAGCTTCACATAAACATCACATCAATATACACTTCTTTATAGACAAATTCTAGAACAGTACATTGCTTATACATTTGTAAGATAACCTTAATGCAGTGCTTTCCAAAGTGGGTGTAGCAACACCTTGGGGTGCCTTGTGCCCCGAGGGGTGTCACCATGTTTTTGGAAATTGCACAAAATATTTTGTGAAGTTTTTATTTTTATTTATAGCAGTTATAAAATTCAGTAATATAAAGTATTTTTAAATTTGCTCACCAATGTGACACACACACAAAATTATCTTGTTTAGTGGCAGGTAAAGTGGGGTTCCCTGACGTGCCAGTTTATACTCATCTCTGCGGTGTTGAATTATTTTTGGTATGTACATAGTGTGTTGCCATCAAAAAAGAGTGGAAAGCACTGCCTTAATGACTAGTTTTAAATTCTGTTACACTAGCAGAATAAAGTATAAACTAAAACTAAATTAAACTTAATCATGATCTGAATTTAGCATTTTTAACATGAGAAACCCTAGGCCTGTTTCTGTGACATTAGATTCACATTGATTGAAAATTGGTAGTAGATCACTAATTAGCTTTTTTATTTATTTAAGCTTTGCCTCATTTTTTGGAGCATCAGTGGAATTAAATACCTTGTTGTAGAAGGTTTCTTATTTAGAACTTGTGGATTTCTGAACATACAGCTTTTTCTTATTAGGAGGAGAATTTTCTACTCAGTTTTGTTTACTAAAAAAAATTGCTTATTTTTGAAAATATATAATTTTTATATTTAAAGTGTTATTACTGAAATGTAAATTTGATATCTGTATGTTTTAAAAAAGAAAGAGTTGATGTATATTCTAGTTTAATTTATTTTTTTTTCCATTTTTCACATTTTCAATTGATAGAATCAGAGGCATGCTTTAAAGCTTCCTAGTATTACACACCAACATATTCAGACATCTAGAGTCTCAAACTCATGTTGTAAAGATAAAATAATGGAAAACATTCAGAGTGGATCGGTTTCAAATACTGGTGAAGAAGAACTTGAATTATTCCACCAGCAGTGTGAAAAACATGTAGGAAAAGGTATGTGGTCTTTCAGTTTGTTTGGCTAATTTGTAGTGACAGTAACATTCCTTCATACAAGTTTTAAGTCTAAAATTTAAAAAAATTATGTATGTTTATAAAAATTATTATGTCACATTTTTATTCATTTTGAAACAAGAAAGTGACATAGCATTGTACTTGTAAAACTACCTTATATTTTGACACTATAATGATTAACTTGAATACTGTAACAAAATTGTACAAAAACGTATTTTAGAAGTATACCTGAGAAAAGGTTTTGATATAATATGTTTTCGGGCTCTGTCTATGAAGTCCTATATGAAATTTTGATTTCTCTAAGATTCATAGCTTTGAACATAGTTGTTACTCATTGATATGTTTTATATGGTATTGTTTGAAACCATATACAGTGGAAGCTCTATTTATCTTATTTGATAAATGTACATTTATATAGATCAACTACACTAAGCTTGTGTTACATATTTCTTTTTTTTTTCAAATAACTAACACCTTTGCATATTCTCTCAAAATGTTTTGATTTTGTTAGTATCAGTAGTAGCATTGATTGGTCTGTACAAACTCTGGTAATAAAACATTATTCAGAAATGTATGCTCACTTCTCTGCACAACTAAAAGCTAATCATTCGTGTCACTGCCGTGAAGATTTTTGTGTACACCACAAACCCATAACAAAACCCTCACCCCTATATCTTTTAACATGTACTATGCCAGCCTATGATGTAATCATCATTGGACTATAGCCCTCCAACAATAGTAGAGTGACACATCATCCATACACAGTAATCCCCATGAACAATAGCATTGGAACAAAGGCTCATTCTTTCTGAAACACTGCTTGTTTCAGACATGTTTTTTTCTTTTTAACTAACATACTTTTTGCACTAATAATTTTAAAGTTTCTTTACCAATTTGCAGTGTAATCTTTCTTTTCTTAATATTTTAAATTAAGAGAAAGAATGATACCAAATTGTAAACATTTAATTTAGAACTTTGTTTCAAATCATCTTCAATTTAATTTTTTTTCTTTTAATCAAATTTGTAATTTTGGGACACATGTTTCAGTATTTGTGATAAGGTTTCTTTCTGATAGCACTATTTCCCATTGTTTTCAGTATTGTCATTACACCAGTGTCCTAGGCCTATGTACCACAGACACAACAGACCAACTTTTTATAAATATAAATTTGGTTTTGTGGATCATCTGGATTATGATTTCAGGTTTCCGAGTTTCTGACATTTCACGAAGTTCTGAAATTCCTTAGTGGGAGTCATCCAATACTGTAATGGTGACTGGAGGCATTCTGACTGTCAGTGATACTATTGCCATTGTGCACTGGGTGATTGATTCCATTCTGATCTCAGATCCAGTATTCCCAACATCCTGATTCATTTACTTCAGCTGAACCTGCCCCATATTTCAATGAGTTTCACCAATTTGCTTTTTCTTTTTATTCTCTCTTCTATACAAGGATCAGGTAATCCCACCATCGTCTTTCAGTACTCAGATTATTCAGGTATATGTTGTTTTTTTCTCTTTTTCCATTGATTTTTTTGCTGAATCTTGGGCCACCTTATTATATGAGCCTTCATCACACGAGTCTCTTCTTTCAGTTGGGGATCACTCCTCTTTTTTCTTCTTTCTCTCTCTCTCCATCTACTGATCTTCATCTTTTACTTACTCAACTTCTTTATTATCTGTTTATGCATCACTTTATTTTAGAGGCTGTAAACTTTACTGGGAAGACTTGCACACACCTATTTTCCCACCTTAACCTTGATTTTATTTTATTGTCTCCCAGTTCCTTTCATTGTTCTTGGGTTGTATTTTGTCGGAATGCCTTACTTTTTTGACATTCTCCTCCCTCGGTCTTTTCCCAGATATTTCTATGGTGTACCCTTTCTTTGTGATGAGATTTTTTGGGGTGTTTCTTATATTTTGGAATCTTGAGCTGATGCACATGTTAGAACTCATCTCTTCTCACTTTGGCTTCTTGCTTTTTTTTTTAATCAGAAGGCTTAGGTTTGTTATGCTCTACAACCTTGTGGGATGACCCCTCTCCTGTTGCTAGTCCTCTTGCTACTATCCAATGATCCTCCTTTCTGAAGTCTTGGAAGCAACTTGTTTCTGAAGCCTGTCCTCAGCTCCAATCCAGTGGGAGCTCTGCTCTCCCATCTTTTACAAATTATGGACTCTTTGCCACAGACAACTGTGTTACTCATGTGCTTTCTCAAAGATTCTTTCCCTGTCCTTCTACTCTTCACTTCACCTAATTAGAACTCCATGGAACAATACCTCAACCCCACTGTGTGGTTTTAATCTGGTCTTTTCATTATTCCCATGAAGATGGGAAATTGGTGACCTGACATAGCTCTGTTTTACTTGAACCAACTTTGTTCATTCCTCAGTTCCAAATATATGGTTTATGCACTCTAAGCTTTGATGTGGATGACCAGGATCAATGTCTTAAATGTTTTCTCCATGTTCATATTTGTTTGCCTTCCTTTCACTTTCTTCAGGTAATCCACAATGATCAAATATTCTCTTCACAGCCCTTCCTTTCAGGTTGGCTACAGTTCGAGATGTTTTCATTTGAGTACAGTGGGATTTTGTTTGGAGGTTATATTATTTAGGCTTACCGTTCTACTACTTTATGGACATTTGAATGTTCTCTGAATGGGAGTTGTTTATTGTTCCTCCCCACCCCCTTTTTACAGGTCTCACAACTATTACTTTATTCAATCTATATATCTTTATTATGGAGACAGTGGAACATATCAAGTGGCTGGTGTTTCCTGACAGGGAATATTTCTCTCCCAAAATTAAGTCCATCTGCCCCTGCTCTCTGTACCCACTGTTGAGATGGGTTTTTTTCCACAAGACTGTTTTGACAGTACATATACATATTTATCTTTTATTTTCCAGGCTTCACTTCAGGAGCAAAAGAAACTGACAGCACTACATGTGAGACTGCCACCACATCAGGCTAGTGCCTGTTGTCTCTGCTCATGGTAACCCCTTGCATAGTCAACAAGCACTTCTCCAGCACTCTATTCCTAGTGATTCCTCCCCCTTTATCTTCATGTGTAATAAAAGGAGAACCCTTGCATCCCCAGACCCAAACTGCTAGGGAGATCAGTATCGAGAATTCCCCATTTGGTCAAATGAGTGTTATGTGGAAGTGTAGTTTTGGCTACCCTACTATACAATGAATGAAGATTCCTGGTAGTTAGACCAGCCAGATGGAGCTTGAATTCTCTATGATGCAGATTTGGGATATTTTCTCCCTGCACCTAATTATTCTAGTAAGTACTTTGTTATTGTCCCTTCACATCAAACACTCATGCTCAGCCAGCCACCTGATAGATATTGACCAGTTGAGCAATTTTACATTCTGTTCATCTGTATGACACAGCACTATGCAGAAGGTTCTTTTTTTTTTTTTGTATCTAACACCTTTATTGAGTGAAGAGTATGCTCTGTATGAAAACGATGCAATCTCTCTCTGAGTGATATACCAACACCCCAGTAGGTGACACCATGATTTCAGAAAGAATCCCAACTTTTTTATTTCTTTATGTACACCAACCCCTACACCATCTTATAAATGTGGGATTCTACCTCTTTGTTGTACTGAAGGAAGTTGGAGTTTTATGAGTAAACATTTTCCTTATCTGAAAATACATTTCAGATAGATACCTCTATGTACAACCTTCTCACTTCCAGTGTATTTCTTTTACCTCATCAAGAACATGCCTTTGTTGCAATGCTAATGCTTATGGGAATTACTGCATAAAGGTATGTTGCCCTCCTGTTGGAGGAGGGCGATTACATCATAGGCTGGCACAGTACACATTAATACATATATGGGTGGGAGCTTCTTTCAATGCTTGTGATAGGCACAAAAATCTTCATGACAGTAGTGTGAGGTGATAGCTCTTTCAGATGAGAAAAATGTTAACTTCAAAGACTTTAAATTACTGTAATACCTTACAATTAAGGTAAATATGCTATACCATATGAAACTAGAACTGTCTGGGCTACACATACCAAAGTTCATGAAGTGTGTATGTTATAAAGAGGTTAATTCTTTAGTTTCATACAAAATAATTTAAGAACAGTTGCTATATTTACTTAAAAATATCCTAGTTTGCTTCACTAAGTTTGTTCTTGTAAATCTGTTTCTTACATTATCTATGAGGTATTGAGCCCATTTTTTTTACTTGTTTCTTACATTGCTCATTTTATTGCATACTAGTGAAAGTACCTGGCTTTGCTCAGGTTATTAGGTTAACATATTCTCAATGACTGTATCAATATCTGTATTCTGAACCTATTTTAGCATAAAAGAACACACTAAAAAATATTTTAACATTTTTATTTCCTAGAAACATTAAAGCATTTGTTTTCTATGTGGTTTTTCACTAGGTTGCCTCAGTAAAAAGATGCGTGCATGCACATGGATAAGTAATATAATACCAATGTGTACACCCTTAGGATCCAATTAGTATTTAGTAATGTAAGGAACCACTTCTTTCCTATGTGGTTTTTTGCTGGCTTGCCTCATTAAAAAGGTGCGTATGTGCATGCAAGCATGCACGTGGATAAGATATGTAATATACTACCTAAGTGTACACCTCAGGGTCCACTTAGTATTTTGTAATGTAAGGATCCCTATATGTTCTGTGTGTTTTTTTTTCCAGCTTGCCTAAATAAAAAGATGTGCACATGCATGCACCCATGCACTTTGGTAAGATAAGGAATAATATCCAGGTGCACACCTTCAGAGTCCACTTAGTATTTAGTAATATAAGAAAACATTTCTATGTGGTTTTTCACTAGCTTTCCTCATTAAAAAGATGCACATGCATGCACAAACATGGATAAGATAAGTAATAATACTCAAGTGCACACCCTCAGTGCACAGCCGCTTATGGAAGTGAATCAAACTTGTCAGAAATTGGGAGGGGTTTGGCCATTTTCATGGAAAATCTTAAAATTAGAATAGCAATTAGAACTCATTTTGATGCTGTGGGGGCAAAGATATGATGGAAAGAGGGGTAGATGTAAACAGAGTTTTTTTTTAAAATAAGGAGTTTAATGACCAGCTTAAATGCTATTCTATTTTTTACCTTAGTCTCTTTATCTTATCTTTTGGACTCTTTATATCCACCGACCTCATTAAGTTTACAACCCTTTTGTAGTGTGTTGTTATTGTGCACCAAAACCTCAATTCAAATTAGGGAAATTATATTATCAAAATTTTGTAAAGAGGGTACTGGCTTATCCCTTTTCTGACACTAATGGAGAGACATCATCACCAAATATCACTTGATTTTGTAGGTCTTGATATTTTCTGGGACCATAGCAACAAAGACTATAAATGGGAATGTATAAAATAAAATCATATTTTTAACATGAAGTTATGAATTTTCAGTTATAATGTGTTTGCTTTTTAGTATGCCTTACATTGTGCATACCAAATATCTGTTGTTGTTTATTTCCAGAAAAAGTGATGAGTTTCTTGAAGACTGAGCTACAAATGTTGAAAGATCATCATGGGAAACTTTTAAAAGATTACAAAGAAATGGTATACATTTAAGCTAGTGACATTGAATATGAGTTAATGATATCTGACACCATTGAAAAATAACACTGGTCTCAGTTATCTGTTAATTAAACAGCTGTTTGATGTAGTGTCTTTATTACATTTTTGCTCACGTTACATATTACAACTACTGATTAGGTTTACAGTTTTCAGGTGAAGCATATGATAAAGATTTAAATCTGTAGATTTAGAATTAACTATCACAGTATTCCTAGGTTTATATTATATATACACATACACACAATTTTTTTCATTCTCATCAACAATTGTGCAGCTATATGAATTTTTTTAGCTTGTAAGCATTATGCACATATCTTCTATTATATGTATGTCATATACAACAAACTTAAACTAGAGAGAAAGGCATAAGGATTATGTACAAGAGCATCCTCTACAGTGTATCAAAGAAATTTGGTTGGTATAGTTAGTGATTCTTAGAAATCCAGTATTTTCATAAATGAAATATGAATTTCTGAAAATGATTTCATCATAACGTTCAGATATTTTGTCTTTTTTCTGGTGGAAAAATAGTTTCACCACAAGTAAAGTTTCAAATGTGCATCACTGTTGCAACATGAATAAGGTACATTGAGAAACACTAGATAGGAGAAGTTTTTTCATAGGTCTAGGCCAGCTCCCAGTACTTGTAGAAGGATGTACTGAGACTACGTTTTCTGGAAATTGTAGCATGGAAGTAATTCTTGAAAAATTAAAAATAAGTAGTGACAGGTTCATCATTTCTGTGTAAAAATCCATTCTTGGATGTTTGCCAGAAAAGGAAGAGCAGATATTACTATCTGTGAAGTCACATATTACTTACTGTCTATTCAGATAGATGATTATTTTCACTGATAGACTGAGAAGAGTGAAAACTAATTGAATCTAATTATTGAGTATAAAGTGCTTTATAAAGAACATTCTTTCAAGTGATCATGGCTGTTATGAGCTTGAAAGAGAAACATCTTTAGAAACAATTGTAGGATATTTTTGTGCAGTGTATAATAGTCTTAGATCAGTTAAACAGTATTATGAGTCATCATTTAGTTAGTAATAATTGATTCTATAAAAAGTTTATTGTGTATCGGGAATTTGGAAGTTAAGGGAAGTTGTGAAGAATGTCATTGTACACTATTTAAGCACTTTGTTATAGATTTGAAACATTTAAAATAAGACTATTAATGGCATGAAATTATTAATACAGTACAAACAACATTTTGTGTATATATGTATGTTCATTGGTTAATTGTACTTTCTTTGAATTTGTTTATGTTAATTAAGTGGCCCACCACAGCTGAGGGAAAAGGGTGCCACGGGCAACATTTTCAGCACTTATATATAGATGTGGGAGGGAGGGTGAAGAAAAAGTCTGGTCATTTGAAAAACTAAATCTGCCGTGGGTGGTCTTATTGCTGAAGGGGTATAACTGCTCTTCCAAAGGGAGATATTCATAAAGCAAAATAGTGATGAAGAGTGAAAGGACATAGTATTTTGAAGAAAAGCAGAAGTATTCATGATAACACAGCAGACCATTTAGAGTTGTAACAAGTTCTGAAACCATACCTTAAATCCAATCTAAAACAATGTCTGTGCCAGCAATGTGAAAATTATGGTTACAAAGAGAACACTTATATCTTAAAAACCCATTAAAATGAAGCTTAACATATGAGTTGGTAATGTTAACAAGATAATAAACATGGATTTGAAGGTGACAAAGGCTCATAAGCCAGTAGTTTTAAAGCTACCAGCAAAACCTTGAAATCAATGGTCATTTTCTTTAAAAAAAAAAGGGGGGGGTCGATGGATGAAGAAACTGGAATCATAACAATTACATTTGTCCACATACGTATTAGTTTGCTAATGCATTCTGAAGAGGCTTATGTGTCTTTGGTTTGCTTTAATGTGATTTTGAAACCCAAAATCCATGTACAGTACCTGTGGGAAGTTTGTCAATACATTTATTTTAAGAATAGCCTTCCCACCCTATATAAAAACTTGTCACAATGGAAATTGTAGTGTCAAGCAAAATGTATAATCATGTCTATCAGATTGAGCACAGTTGACAGAGGAGAAAGTAGTTCCAAGGACAATATAGTACTGGAAACATCATTCATATAAATTGTAATCAACCTCAGTGTGTATGTATATATGTATGCATGTGTGATTTGAAATATTATTTATGTAAATAAGTCAAAAGATAAAAGAATGTGTAAAAATTCAAGCCAAATTTTCTCCTAAAATAGTATATTATTTTTAGGTTTACTGAATAATTTTGGTAGTAATAATTGTAACATTTTTTATTTTGATGAGGTGTAGAGTGAATTGCCTGCTCACATAGAAATAAATACGAAAGCACTTATTATATCCATCCATTTTGTTTAAACAAAAATACAATAGTAGATAAAAAAAGTAATTAATAACTGTCAGGTTTTTATAGGGCCAACATTGTTTACAGTAGGTGTCTTTTGACTTGTTGGTGATAACTTTCAAAAATAAACAGACAGCATACAGTCCATTGTTTTAGAATAATATATTTAAAAAAAGTCAAACATATCTGCAAAAATTCGTTACAGTATTGGCTATCACAATTGTATTCAGAACTTTAAATAATTGTCTCTTTTTCATCAAAGTCCACACAGGTGGGTTCACTTACTTTAGAACACCCTTTGACAAGACGAATTATTCTTCTCTACTCTGTTATTACAATAATAGGCTGTGATACTCACTTTAAAGTCATTACTATAACTGTTGGTCAACACAGTTGTATCCAGAGCTTTAATCAAAGTCCACATAGCCATGTTCAATTACTTTAGAATACCCTTTGACAATACATTATTTCTACATCTTTATTATTACAATACAATCTACAATTATTACACTTTAAAAGTTGCCACTATACATTCTTTATGGCTAAACTTACAAACACAGTCTAGATCTATTTGACTATATCTCTCACTAACTTTTTCTTGCTTTCACTTTCACTAATGTATTTTTTGCACTAACTTGGTTGCCTACATAAATATATATATATATTGCCCAACTGATGCCTAGAACTTCCAATAAACTATGGGATGTTATGATGTAACAATACTTACTTAAAGCAACAAGAAAAATTCAGAGATTTGAGTAACATGACATCAATTCACAGCAGTTGACCTACAGTGATTTGTAAACAGCTATGTAAGGAAATTTGCCATAACTATCACTTCTAAAAATAACTTGCTTTAACACCCAAGCTATGTAAACCATCTAAATCATAATGTTCACATTAGACTTAAAAATGAAATGAAACAGTCATGTATATCCAACAGTAACACTAGGCTGTAGATGTTTTTACAAAATTAAAACTTAAAAGGAAGTTAGTATTTGATATTACTTGCTGACTTCTGGGACAAGTAAACTTTTAAGTTAATAAGTGCTTATTTGAGTGCATCGATTTTGTTCTTAAACTTTAACAAAAAGACAGGCTGAAAGTTATAGATTTCAACTGTATAAAACAAAGTGAATAATACTGAATAAAACTGCTAGTTATTAGCTGTTTTGTTTTTTCTTTAAATAGTTACTGTATTTGCAAGTTATTGATGCCAGGTTAGAAAAAAAAATATTAACAAATAATTTCCTGTATTATTGAAGATTCTCAAATATTAAGATATTTATTTAAGGTATCAGGATTTATAAAAAAAAATGTGTATGTTATTTTCTTCAGGAAAAATCATTGAAAAAACTAGAATTACAACTGAAAGAAACAGAACAAATGAAAACAAAATATCTTAAGGATAACAGCATGAAGGAGAAGCAGTTGGATAAGTGCCAGTGTTTAAATAAAGACCTCCAAGCCAAAGTTGATTGCTTAGATATTGAATGTAAGACACTGAAAAAGGTGATTAAAATTAGAATTGAATTTCTAAAATACTTCAGTAGATTTATTATTCCAGTTTTGTAACCTGTATGGTGCTATTAATATTCCATAGTATTCTGTGCATCCAACTTTTTTTTAACAAATGATGGCATAATTTTTATTTGTGTTATGTTGTTAGTGTTTTCCAAATTAGTTGATATTTACAAACTTTTCGTGTTTGAGTTTCTTAAGAAACTTTGGTTCTGCTGTGGTCATATGGAAAATGTGACAGTTGGGATATAGTGTTGAGCCTTTAATACACAGTTGGTAAATTTTTTGCCTCATGATGGAAACTTCTGATTCACGTCCTTCTCAGTTTAAGTTACTTTTTATCCTTTGTTACATTGGTATCAGCCAGTGACGATACTAATCCTGAAGGCCTTAGAAACTGTGAAAATGTATGTGTACCTGAGCCATATATGTTTTATGTAAAAACATAAATTTTTCAAATTTTTTAGAGCACTATTTCCATACATTTATCTCTTCCAGGATAATTGCCATTATTTTCATATCATGGAAATAAGGCTTGCATGACACTCATAACTGAGGCTTATCACTGTAGTTTCTATTATGAATAGTGTAAGCAATTAATCATAAATTGGATAAATCATTTTGAAAAATACTTCTTATCAAATGTATGACTCAACCTTATTACAGTTAGAGAAATGTCCGTTTCCCTGTTTGGCTGTTTCCCATTGCAGCTCCTTATGCAAGCATTACTCAAAGCTGGAGATACGTGGAAGTAGTACTTTGAAAAACTTAATTAATACACATTTGTGATTTATCATGCTTATTTGGTCACAAGATAAATGTCAAGTTCTGGATAGAAGAATTTTACCTGATAGGCAGGGAGTACACAACAATCATTTGAAGTATGGATTATTTGCTGGGAAGTTCGGGGTTATTACAGTAGAAGATTGTCCAGTTGAGAGCCAAACACCCTCTAACACAAAGCTTGATTATTACTTAAAATCAAGGTAACACTAGTCACATCTGGACTTGGACCAAGAGAAGGATTTTATTTAGTGTATCTAAGACTTTGAGCAAAATGTTCTTAAAAGGGTCATATTGGAAGGCAAGCATACAGGAAAAAAATGTGACAGCATAAACTAAGTACTTGTAGTGTTTAGCAATTAAAAATCAGGAATTTATTATTGAAAGAAAACAAATGAAATCAAGTGTAACGTCTTCAATTTATGGCACAGTCATTGGCACTTTTTTAGTGTATGCAACATACTGTTGCCAGAATCCTGGCTAGTTGAAATGTTTGATTAGTAAATAGCTTTTAAGATTTGAAAAGTGGGAGGTTTCACCCTTCTTTAAGAAAGTACAGTTGTTAACTCTCTGTTCAAATTGACTGATCCCTTATATGTGAAACTATGCAAAATAATATTTACTCTAATTCTGAACTAAGTTTGTTATCATCAGGAAATTTGGCAAGCTGGTAGTAAATATTAAAGTTTGTTTACACAAAAACCAGATTTCTAATAAATGTTTTTACTAAATATTTATTTGTGAATTTATGTAGCCTTTACGTAGTCAGTCTGAGAGAAAAGTGACTTTCATTTTAAGAATAAAAATAATTCTTTATATCTTGCAATTTTCCTATTTCATTTTACATAACTTTTTTTAATAAAATGTATTTTATCCCTTATTTTCTCTGTCTTAACGCTAAATCATCAATGTACAGAGAAACAAAACGTTGAAAAGTAAAAAATAAAATGAGTAAGATAATTTTTTCCTGGACATTGACTGTAAAATTTATCAGAAATTTCCAAATTACTTATCTTAGCAGTTTCAACTGTTAACCTTTTAATGTCTGCTTCATTTTAACTTTATGGCTTTATTTTCATACTTTGTACCATAGGAACAGTAATCTATTTCATCAAAAGCAATAAATTACAGCACAAGCCCATGAGCTGTTTCCCATAAAGCTAATATAAACAGCAGGGTCATGTTACATGTGCACTCCAGCTCAATAAATTTTAGATACTTGTTTTAAAAGATATGTGTATATATAAAAATAAGGGTTTCTAGTAATCAAGCTCATTTTGCACTTGAGTAAAAATTCTCCATAAAACTCAATGAGTCTCACAAATTTGATTGTCCAAAGAGGAATTCATGTAGCTTTTAAATATGCATTTTATAATGCAAAAAGTACATCAATCATTATAACAGAATATCTCAAAACTACTGTCATTTATCCAGCTCTCCAAATAACTATAAAATAGGTTGAAAAACATTCTCTCATACTTCCAGAGTAGGAGTACAAAGAAACTGTGACAGGCTGTTACTTTAGGGGCATTGAAATTAAATAGCTGTAATGAGCCTTATATAGAGAAGAATCTGTCCTTTCTATTGGTTTTAAACATGTCCATTAGCCATTTAAAGTTAATTATCAAACAATCTTGAAAGTTAGAGATAGGGGGGGAAGGGCTTCTTTGGTGGGTTTCACAAATTTATCTATATCTCGGCAAGTCAAGAAGTTAGGAGGTTAAAATTTTTTATTCTTACTTGTTATTAAGTGTAGTTTGTGTTTCTAATTGGTTAGAAAATATCAAAGGTTATTACTGAAGTTAGAGTATTTGTAGCTGAGAAGCATTATATGACAAAAAATGAAGAATGATAACTTAAACTTAGATAAAATAATAATTTGAATTACAAGCTATAGATTCATGTTCAAAAGAGCCAGGCCTAGATGTGAAGGGTCAATAGTAACTTTAGGTGCTTACCTTTCCCATGTGAGTTCAAGTGTGAAATTTATGTAATGCTTCACATGTGAAATGAACTTTCATTGATACAAAGGTGTATTATGGGAAACAATTTATATAAGAGTATTACTTTAGTATATGTGCATTTTTTTTCATGTTTTGATATAGATGTGTTATCATATATACATTCATTCTTTTTTGCTAGTCCTTAATGTCAAAAATATGCTATACAAGAAAAGCTAACACCTAAATGTTTCTTATGTTTCTATCATTTCAACTTTTCTATTTGTATATATATATACTTTTTTGTTACTATTCCTTATGATTTTTAATACAATTGCCTTATTACATGGTTGAGTACCCTACTGGAAGAACTTGGTGTTTATATTTTTTGTAGTTGGGTGATAGAATTCAAATCCAAGCACATTTTGAAAGTGAGAATTCAGAACCTTGTACTTATACTGTATGTTATTTTCAAAACTAGGAATTAGAAGTAATCAAACATGATCAAAAGCAAGCTGACTTGGCAAAGAAGGCCACAGAAACACAACTGAAGCATGCTTTGGAAAACTTGGAAAAGTATAAGAGTGAATTACAGCAAGAAAGGGGCAAGATAAAGGTTAGTAATCATGATTAGGTCATGAACTAAAAAGAATTAACTTTCTGGTGTCAGTAAAACTCCAGATGTTTTTATACATTTCACTTATTAGTTATCTTCAGTTGATAATACACTCATTTATATCATTAGTATGAAATATTGTTGAATGCCAAACTTACTTTATCTGATACAGTGATAATAGTATTACTCTTCATTCTGTTTTATCCAATAAAAACTATCACATTTGCTGAACATTAATTTAACAGATGTAGTGTGCATGGAGCTGGAAAACACACTAACCTTGACTTTCTCACTCACAACATTATTAATGTTATTGGCATCCTTTTCTGTTCATGTCCTGAGGTTTTATTGAGTTACATTCAAAATTGAATTAAACTACTTTATTATCATGGTATACAAATAAACTGGGCATCAGAATGTAGCTAATAGTCCAAATTTTATTATTATATAAGGTTTAAGTTCTTAAATTTATAAGGCAATATAAAAAAAAATTTAAGTTTCCCCTATTATGAAAATTATGAAATTTGCTCTCTAAGTATCCACTCTTCTCTAATTTATTTATCACTCCTCCAAGAATTATGGAATCTAACGTAAATTACTCATTATTCATTATGATATACCCCAGTGGGACAGTGGTAAGTCTATGAATTTGCAGTTCTTCAATCAGGGGTTCAATTCCCCTTGGTGGACACAGCAGATAGCCTGACATGGCTTTGCAATAACAAAACATGCAGCTCATTATAATATTTTTATTACTCAGGCAAAGCATATTTAGTGTAGCCTTCAATTTTATTTGGTTATAGAGCCATAAAATAGAAAATCAAAGCCTTCTTGCCACGCCCACCAATCATATTCTCTCTTTCACAAATTGCCAGGAATTCTGTCTGATGTTTAATACTATATTATGTATAACCAATAGAAAGCCAAAGTTTTAATCTATCAAATGAAATATTTTATTACTTGGTTTTCTGTAAAGAGAATTGGCTGTTTCTCTTTCAGTTCAAACTTTATAACTTTATTACCATGGGAAACATATCAATGAGCTTAGCTGAATTTTTAATGGCTCTTGTCACATCGTTAGAAAGCCAGAAAAATTGTGATAGTTTTGAGATGTTGCTTTTCACGTGCTATTATTTAGGTGCATTACTTAGGTGCATTATTTAATTGAATAAAAAAATATTAAGTGCAGTAGTACCATTAGTACCGGGTTCGTTCCCCGGCAGGGATGCCACCACCATTGCCTGGTCCCAAGTCCAGGATGAGAAAGGAGGAGGGTTGGGTGCGGGGCTAGCAACTCTACCCCGTAAAAACCAACCTGTTAAAAAATTACTGCAACAACAACTTCCGTCGGCGAGGTGTTGTTGGGGCCCTATGCTCCAGTGGGAGTCTACAGGGATTATTATTATTATATTAGTACCATTAGTATAAATAATTAGGGTTAAGTTTCATTGACAGTTGACAGCAAAAAACGAAGGTTAGTAATATATGTTTCTTGTTTTTCACATGTATTTTTTATTTATTATTATAAAAGTAACTAAAATGTAAAAAGTAGAAACTTTTAGGTTAGATCAGGTAGAATACAGAAAAATAATGATAATAGTAAAAACTTTTCACAAGGTATGCTCATAAGCAGCTCTTGCATTATGTAATTCAATAGGGTAACATGAGCTACATGTTCATTGAGTAACTTACAACTTGTGTGGTGGGATTATTAGTTAAACATGGTTCAAAGGGCAAGTAAAACAATAAAATTTAATTAGAAACAGACACATACTGTTACAAGCTTTAAGATATATAGCATAACCAAATGTAATTTCCTGTTGAAATATGAAGTCATTCTAAAAAGAAAAAGAAAG